TCTGTGTCATTTCTCCAAGTAACACCTTCTTGCAGTTTCAAATCTGCTATAATCCAGACAGAACTCTAGGTTGCCATGGGTAACCGGAGTCTAAGCTGGAACCAACCCTAAATTTAATTTTACACACAATTTCAAGGCAACGGGGGACCGTGCTGAAGGTTACTTCTGGCCAGGGCTGATACTCGGCTAGTCCTTCCAGCATGGAACTCTTGTGGGCCAGGCAGCTTGTCCCTCTGACCCCCTGCCTGCCCCTGAACCTGGCTCTTCTAGGACCACACACTCCTCACACTCCAGTACTCTCTGGCCAGTGGGCTCAGAGACACTGTTTCTACAAATGCCAGGGTCCTTTCCAAGTGGTTGGTGCCATGCCACACCAGTTGTGCAAAACAGTAGTGCCCTTACCCATAGTTTCAGTTATTTGTGGCCAACCACGATCCCAAAATACAGTTCAGTACAGTAAGATATTTTGAGAGAGGGAGAGACCACATTCACATAACTTTTATTATAGTAAATTGTTATAATTATTCTATTTGATCATTACTTATGGTGGCTAATCTCTTACTGTGCCTAATTTAAAACTTTGTCATTGGTACCTATAGGACAAAGCATAGTATGTACAGGGTTCAGTACTACCCCTGGCTTCAGGCATCCACCGAGGGTCTTAGAATGCACCCCATGGATGAAGGGGGACTACTGTAATTTGATTATCTCCCCAGTTTGGGGACAGAAGCTTTTTCTTTGTCTCTCTGTGAACTGACTGGCAGCGTTTGAGGCTTTTTCTCTTTTTCAAAACTCAAAGGCCTTTTCTCATTTGCAGGATGTGCTCTGGGTTCAGGTTGCCTGAGGTCCACTGGGTGGGTGTGAAAAGCTATTTTGACTGAACATCTACCGTGTGCCAGATGCTGTACTCAGTACATCGAGTAAATCATCTTTGCTCGTCCACTACACGGCCCTATTAAGGAAACGGAATCCACCTCCACAGTCACACGGCCAACAAGCAGTTCTGGAAGCCGGAGCCATCTCTCTCGGGCCTGAGTCCTCTGCACTCTGCTCTGTTCATGTTTATTAATGTATGAAAATGCCCAAAGTTCACATTCTGAAAAAAAATAAATAAATTCTAAAAGTGAAACGTGGGCCCTTCTACTTTTTAGAAAAGTCTATTTGTTTTGGTTTTGGTGTGTGGGTTTCATTTTAATTAATTCCACATTTCCTTACCAATTTGGAACAATCTGTCCTCAGGGAACAGATCTGGTTTACTTATAGAAAGCTAGTGGAGGGAGTAACTGGGATTACAAAGTATTCCTTGTAGGAACTAAGCTAAAAACCTTTGCAGTTCTTTTGCACCAAACAGAGGTAAATAGAACATTCCAGAAAACACTATCTGCCTCAGAGGGTGGTGATAGAGCTCACAAACAGAACCTTCTTCGGATGTGTTATGGACTTTGGCTGCAAGATGGGGTGTGTGACATCAAACACAACTGATGTCCTTCCCCCATCCTAGAAAGTTCTCTGGAAGTTCACACCAGGATAAAGTCATTATCACTGATATGGAACAAGGACCTCCCAGAAGTCCTCCAGGAGCCTAGCACCCAGCTGTGGACCTCAGGTGTGTGGGCCAGTTGAGAAGGCAGGAATAGTGCCTGTAATTCAGGGGCAGTTATGGATTCAGTTCTCCTAAGGGTCTGGGGCACAGAAGGCTGTCGAACCCACTCATGTCTATGAATTTCCTGTTCTTTCCTCAGAGGTGGACATTCCAAATTGATCTAAACTAATTTTCGAAAGAAGCAATCTATGACCTCATCTTGCACATGGTGCACCTGATCCTCCCACGCTGAGCACACGTAATTCTCAGTGTCCTTTCCAAAAACACACAGTGCTCTAAAGGAACCTGTGGCAGGGAGAAAATTGAAACTTGACTTGATATAAGGTGACTGGTCAAAGTATCTCCTGTGTCAGTTTCCTAAGGCTGCCGTTGTGATAGTAGGAGCAAATGTGACTCCATTTTGTTTTATGACTTCATCTTGTAAAACAACCATGCCAAGTAGAAGAGTCATGACTGGGGCAAGATGTTCATTTCCTTTTGCTATAGAAACCTTTAAGAACACAGAACTACCTAATGGGGCATTGTTTCTGTAACTAGGGTAACGGGATTCTATAACTGGGGTGATTGGGCTAACTGTGATTGGTTAGGCTTCCCTCTGCTTGACTGCACTGTCCCGCTTCTATAACCTGGCTTGCTTGCGTTGGCTAGACCCCCTGAACATCCCTTTTGAGGTTTTCAGGCTTATAAGGAGTGCCCTTGCAATTGTTCGGGGCTGATCAGGGGAACAGATTTATGTTCTGGTCAGCCACCACCGGTGTGCTTCAATAAAGGCTTGATTTGATTATACGGAGTGGTCTGGAAGTCAGTTTATGAAACCCTGGGACGAAGCTTTAACTCTAACACCATAACAAAGCACCACAAATGGGGTGGCCTAAGAAACAGAAATGTGTTATTTCATAGTTCTAGAGTCTTGAAGTCCAAGATCAAGGATACAGCAGGGCCATACTCCCCTGGTGCAGGGAAAGATCTGTTCCAGGGCTCTCTCCCGGCTTCTGGTAATTCTCTGTCATGCAGCAGCAGAACTTCAGTCTTCACTTAGCATTCTCCTTGTGTCTGTGTCCAAATGTGCCTTTTATAATGACACCAGTCAGATTGCATTAGGGGCCACCCTACTCTAGTATGACCTCATCTTAACTCATCACATCTGCTACGGAGCTACTTCCTGATAAGGTTGCCTTCTGAGGTCCTGAGGATTTGGACTTTGACATATGAATTTTGGGGGATAACTGATAATATCATCGAAGATAATTCTGAACTTAAAATCAAATTCAAGAGAGGGAACAGACCAAATTGCCCAAAAGAATGCCTCATGTTATAGATGATTTCATCAGATTGGCAGTGTGGGCAAGGAGTCGGTGTGTTGGCCCCTGAAATTTGTTGCTTACAAATAATGATGAAGAGGCTGAGGGGGCTGTTGGCTGAGGAGCAGGGAAATACCTTGGGTCCCTACAAAACCCCAATTTCTGATCACCACTCTTTTAAGATAAAATCCACATGGGTAGTTGGAAATTCTGGTGTTGATAGAAACAGTCAGTTACAATGATTGAAAAAGAAACATTTTGAGAACATTTCAAACACTTTAAACTCCCCACTACAATTTGTCTTCCTTATTCATGAGGATTCTACCAACTGTGGATCCAAAATATTAAAAGGAAAAGAGCATGAACAGGCAGTGTGTGTGTGTGTGTGTGTGTGTGTGTGTGTCTGGAACAAAGGATTGCACTGAGGGGTGCTTTACAAACTGAGTCACATCCCCAGCCCTTTTGATTTTATTTTGAGATAAGGTCTTGTTAAGTTGCTGAGGCTGGCTTCTAATTTGCCATCCTCCTGCCTCAGCCTCCAGAATATCTGGGATTACAGGCCACACCTGGCCAGTCTTTTTTCTTGTTATTATACCCTATAGAGTACAGAAGAACCACTATATGCAATTTCCATTCTGTTAGGTATTATAAGTAAACAAAAATTATTTAAAGTTTATAGAAATTATGCAAATATGACACCACTGTATGTAAAGGACTTGAGAATTCTTGGATTTTAGAATACACTGGGGGTCCTGGAACCAATACCCATCAGAAAAGGAGGAACAACTGTACCCAAATCTCAAAGAGATTCTACCCTAAAGCTAGATGTAATTTGCCAAAGGGATTCTGCTTGCTTTGAATGTGGTTTGTCCCCCAAAGATTTATGTGTTGAAGCTTTGATCCCTAGTATGGCAATGTTGGGAGGGGGTGTGGACTATTAACAGGTGGGGGCCTAGTGGGAGGTTGGGATTGGGGTGATTGTGGGACTCCAGTCTCTTTCCTGCTTCCCATCTGGTGGCATGCTTTTCCCCCTCACCCATCTGTTCCTGTCATGACACCATCTACCATTAGGCCCTCACCAGAATCTGAACCAATGGACTGTCCAATCTTGGACTTTCAGAACTTTTAACTAAATAAACTCTTTTCTTCATAAGTAGTCTCTGTCAGATATTTCAATTATAGTAATGTAAATTAAACTAACAGTCCCCCCCCCACCCCCGCAGTACTGGTGATTGAACCTAGATGTGCACTACCACCTTTCTACTTTTAAATTTGCGATGGGGTCTAAATTGCACAGGCTAACCTTGAACTTGTGATCCTCTTGTCTCAAACTCCTGAGTAGCTAGGATCACAGGTGTGTGCTACCATGACTGGCCTAATACAGGGTGTGTATAAAAATTGAATTTCCTTTGATAAATGGCTTCTGTTTTCCTTTTTTTTTTGGGTAGATGGAAGCCTTATTAATTTGTTCTAGTAATTTCCTTGCTGGTGTCTGCAATTATGCTAAGGAGGTATTTGGTGCAGCTATAAACCATCCATGAAATTGTGCACAGGCCACAAAACAACAAAGTATAGCTCAGTGGTCAGGAGCACAGACTGTGGTGCAGACAGACATTGGTTCAAGTCTGTTTTGGTCTCTTACTTCAGTGACCTTGAACAAGATACATGAAGCTGAGTTTTCTCATCTAAGCTGTCCTCTGGAGGTGGGTATGAAGTGAGATACTGGCTGGCAGATGCCCACTGCAGTAGACCCAGCTCAATAAATGTTATCTCATAATTATTCAAGAGAGCTAAGAAATGAACCTTGAAAAAGAATCAATCTTGTCCCCTCCTCTTCTAACTCAATGTGGCTTTTCTCATACTCCTTTCACATCCTGTTCCCTCTCTTTCTTATCCCAAGTTACAGGGGAAAACAGAAATACCATGAATAAGTGAAGAAAGAGAACAAAGAAATACAGAGAAACTTGGACTCAGTGTATTCTTCCCTTAGAGGAAGAATACAGGGCCCACGGCTGCAGCTGCAGACTCGCCCTTCAGACCCAAGCGGACCACGGGTCGGTCCAGCCCCTGTGCCGGCCGGCGCCCCGCCCACTCACCTGGCCCCGCTGACGTCCACTCCGACCATCAGCTGCCCGTTGAGGGAGAGAATCTCGTCCCGCAGCCGGACCTTCCCGCTCTTGCCCGCGGGGCTGTTCTTCCTCAGCTCTGTCACCCAGATACAGCCCACGTCCAGCACGGGGCCCTGGTGGGTCTTCCTCTTCTTGCCTCCTCTGCGCTTTTCACCGTAGTCCCCGAAAACAGGGATGTTCCCAAAACTGAGGCCGACGGTCTCTGTGTCCCCCAGCTGCTTGGTGAGGTACACAGTACAGATCTCCATTTCTGGAGGGCTGAGGTCGGGGGGCACCGCACTCTCATCCACGGCCAAGTTCAGCTGGATGTACTCCTGCAGTTTCTGGATGGCCGCGTGGCAGAGCCGCTGCTCGGGCCCGTCCCCGCCCTCCCGCAGGCTGTTCTGCAGCCACTGGTAGAGGAGGGGCAGGTGCAGCACGGCATTGTCCTGGGTGATGGGCATGGTGCTCACTCCCGGACACCCGCATCATGAAAGGTCCTGCGGCTGGGGGCCGGACCCCGTGGGGCCCCACGTCCCTTGGGAACCCTGGCCGTCATCAGCTGTGCCTGTGTTCATGTTGAGGCTGGCAGATGAGCCTAGGGACGCCTACTCAAGACTGGCCCGTTGACCTTGGCAAGAAGAGGACAGGACACAATTAGGAAAACCCAGGAACGATGGCTCTGGGTGCTCCTCAGGGGAAGGGAGGTCATAGCCAACAAGTCCTTGCTGAGTTCATTTCACAGCAGGGTCCATACACGTCCCATGGAAGCTGGGTATTCCTGCAGCAGCAACAGTGTGTCCTTTCCTGGGCTCATTGGCATCTAGGAAAGGAAGAGGAAACAAACGAACAAACAAAAAATCAAAATAGTGAGCCTGGTGGCACAGGACACAAGGCCCCTGGGCTTTGGGAGGACCATGTTTGCTTTTGGAGTCGGAACCTAAGGCCTCTCTCCATCCCCCAGTGTGGCTCCCTCCACACCCATGCAAATACACACTTCTTTCAGGCAGAAGCTTCTGGAACTCTGACCTTCTCTAGGAAGTGTCCCTGATCAGCAAAGAAGTGAGATGCTTTTTGCTACATCAACCCCCACCAACATACCATCTAACTCACAACCAACTGGAAGGCAGTGTGGAAAGCTCCCCTGGAAGGTCACAGAGAGTTCTGGACCAGTGTCCACTCTGTTGACAATAATGTCACCTCTCCTGAAGATGCATGACTTAACTGAAAGAAGATCCAAGAAAGCTGGTAGATTTCAACAGTGTGGTAATAGATTACCTCAGTAACCGAAGCATCTATTTTGAATGCTAAGGCTGTCAGCTTCAAGCTACTCAAAACTGATTTAAATTACCATGGCTATTTGTTTGAGATGGGAATCTAATTGGAGAATTGCATGTGATAGATTGGACTGCCACAGTGGGCCTCAGTGGCCAGAGTTCTGCTCACAAATGAAATGAACTGTATTTGGAAGACTATAGCAGTTAGGATATGAAATGTCCCCCCAAAACTCATGTGTTGAAGGCTTGGTCCCCAACGCAGCAATATCCAGAGGTGGAGCTTTGGGAAGAGATTGGATCATGAGGATTCTGATCTTATCAGTGAACTAACCCACAAATAGCTGAACAGACCACTGGGAGGGGGTGGAAACCACAGGTAGGCAAAGCATGGTTGGAGGAAGAAGATCACTGGGGCATGCCCTTGGGGACTATATCTTGTCCCTAGTCCCTTCCTTTGTCTGTCTCTGCTTCCCAGCTGTCCTGAGCTTTCCTTCACCATGCTCTTCCACCATGACGTTCTGCCTCACCTCACGCCCAGAGCTATGGAACCAGCCAACCATAGACTGAAAGCTCTGAGCTGAAATAAAATTTTCCTCCTCTAAGTTGTTTGTGTCAGTGACAAAAAACTGACTAACCCAGAGAACTTGTAGATCTTTGCACAGATCAGTCATGGGAGGACATCCATATTTTTAAATTCAGGTTTGTGGTCTCTGTCTTCTCAGGGTCAACATTTTGCTTACTGGGATGTTTCATTAGATGTTTTTGAAGAATGACTCTTTTCATAGTACAGGTTGAGTATATATTGAGATATTTTATGGTTGGGATCCAAGTCTAAAATTAAATTCACTTCTGTGTCCTATGTGCCTTTTATATATGGATGAAGGTAACTTTACAGACGATTGTAATAAATTTTGAAATGAAACAAAGTTTCATGGTGTGGAATTTTCCACTTGTGGCATCGCATTAGTGCTCAAAAAGCTTCAGATTCTGGATGATTTCAGATGTTTGAATTAGGGATGCTCCACCTGTATTATGAAATCATCAGACTTTTCTTGTGCCCTGAATCATCTCAAATCGTTGCAAGTGAATGAGGCCCCTCTACTTCTCTAGTTAATAGAAAAACCCAGAAAAATGAGTACATAGAATAAAGGACTAGAAGAACTACTGGAAAATTCTCAATTATAGGCATGGAACTGAAAGATTATGGAGCCTATGAACACCTACATAAGAATAAGACTGTGAGGATGTCCTGCGCTTCAACAATTTTTCCTCTCCTGAAAACGGCTTCCCTGTCTTCACCACTTCTCAGAGTCGGAGCTTGGACTCTCAGCAGAGTTGTCATCTTTGACTGCACTTCCTTGGCCAAAGCTGATTGGACTACAGATGGGCAACTGGTCTAAGCTGAGCCAATCGGCTTTGCTCACCTCCAAGATCAGAAACTGACTCCAGTCTATTTAACTCTAGGTTCACTTAAAGTTTTGTTTTTCTTTTTCTTTGTAGTAGTTTAATTTTAAAATGTAATGTAAGGTAAAGTTTGATGCAGTTTTTCCGGCTGAGGGGGAGGGCAGCAAGGCAGCCTCATCCAGGCTCCTGAAGCTAAGAACAGGAATGCTGGGGGGTGCCGGGATGCTTTCTCTCCCCAGCCTTGCACCGCTGCACTCCAGGGATCGACCTTATTTCTTGGCAGGATGATTTCTTTGCATCTCAGTCAGTGCACACAGCAGGCAGGATATTGCCATTCAGAGCATCCAAACACTCAAAAGTGTTTGCCACCTGCAGTAGGACCTTCTGAGTCTCTGCACCCGATTTTCAAGGAAGAACTCTGTCCCAGCTTTGATGAGATACCCAGCTGGGGACCAACGGACATGGACTCATGAACTGATGTGTGCACGCGTGTGCATTATTATTTGAACTTGGCACCCAGCAACTTCTTGATTCTGCTGAGGGTTGTCATATATATTATATACTAATTTTCATTTATTCTAAGATTTTTGGGGGGTTATGGAGTTTGAACCCTGGGCTGAGTATATGCTAAGTATATGACCACTGAATTACACCTCCAGCCTATAATTTCCATTTATTTGTGCTTCCGCTATATCACGAATTCCTCCAGGATGACATTTGCCATATTGATAGCACACTCACAGTGACACATTCAAGGCCTGGTTATTCATGTATGTTCTATAAATACTTGGTGAATGAATGGATGTGTGAACACAAATTGACACTAGGAAAAAGAAATTCTCTACTACTCTTAAGTTTGGTTTTCCTCAGACCTATTTAAAGAGCAGCTTGCCCATGATATTTACACCTGTTTTCTATGTATGGAATCATCTGACTTGTGACTAGCACCTTGAATCTCAAGACATTAAACATTTAATTTAAAGGACCTTCAGAATGTTTTTTTCTAAATTATTGATCGTCTACAATGTGATAGGTGCTAAGCTGAGGAAGGGAACACACTGCTGAAGAAGAAGATAGTATCCCTGTATTCAAGGAAACCTTGCTGGGTCTGAGAGACCTCACGGATCATTGTACAGATGAGAAAAAGGAGACTCATAAGAGCCGTTAGACCTGATGAAAATGTTTTGATTTGTTCATAAGATTTTAATATATCTGTGAGTAAAGTTATTTTTCAGTGAGAGGTGTTACTTATTTTGGCCAAAGGAGACATTCAATCTTTGCACATACATGAATTATCTTTTTTTTTGATCTTGCATTTCTTTTTAAGAGCTGTATAATTATGTAGGTATTTGCTAAGCTTTTGATTTATTTGGAACCAATTAATAGTTGACATTCAAGTTCTTTGGAAACTCAAAACACACTCTATTGGAAATATCTTTTTGGTGTCTGAGTAATAAGGTCATTTATTACTGACATGGCTTCTGACACTTGGCCCATGTGTTATTATTCCTTGTTAAATAAATCACTTCCTGAGCAGGCTGGAGAATGTTTTCCACCTTGGATGGCATGGTTTATATTGACTTTCTCTGGGAGAGAGTGAAATTCAGAGAGGAGAGTGAAAGGGATCATTTTTCTATATTTATGGAGAACGGAGGCGAAAGCTTTCTTTGATGGAGAAGGCTGGTTGGCAATTTGATTCAATGAACCTTTCACTGGGGAATTATTTTGTGCCAGACATGGGGCAGAACTCAGGGCATATGGCTCAGGCTGTGTTTGGGAGACACACCTGCCACAGCTGGCCACACGGGCTGATGGGTGGTATCACAAGGTAGGTAAAGGAAGGGCCATGTCTTCTTACCCAGACCTTCGGAAAAATGTTTCTCTGGAGAAGATAACTTTGGGGTTAGCCTAAAAACATTGGTTGGTTTCAACAATTTACCACAGGAAAAGGAGAGAGGAGACTAAATGTAGGAGGCAAAGGTTCACAATTCCCTCCGAATCGACATGATCAAGATGGGAACCAGGAGTCACCTTAGGATTGGGGATGCCCTAGGACACAGTGAATCTCCCTGTGGAGTTACTTGGTGCTTTCTCCTTTGGTTAGCATTATCAAGGATTATTTCTGGAATGAAGAGTCCTCCTGGGTGTATAGTTAGGCTGATCAAGGCAAATAAACACAGATCTTAACTTCTAGGAATGTGAAGTCTTCAACACATTCAGAACCTCCTGCAACCTTCCAAGGGGTCTTTTTACACACAGCTGCCAGGTTGGATGTGAGTGGGTGGCATACTGATGGGGACTGTCCTGGCCTTGCTCTTCTCCATCAGCATCCTGCCTGCTTCTGATCTCACCCTCTTGACCTAGTTACCACCTTCCCAGCTTGGTGGCTCCAATGGGCCTCATATGATAAATAAACACACAGTTTATGCCAGAAGCTTGTGACAGACCACCAGATATCCAGCCCTCCTCCTTCATTTTGTGGGAGTGGCAATGTATTCAACTAAAACACAGCTTCTCTTGCAGGTAGAGTTAGTTATACAAAAAATTTCTAGTCAATGAGATGAAAGTGAAATTTTGGGGTGGGTCTTACACCAACACTCCTTAGAGAATAAGACAGAAATGAAAGAAAAAATCACCCCCATCTTCTTTAACTCACTTTTACCTGGATTTTTCTAAATCTAATCAATTAGCTCTATGAGACCTCAAATAAATACAGAATCTGGTAGCTGGAAGTGGGAGAACTAAAAGTAACAGAATCTAAAACATGGAATTGGCTGAGCAGGGGAAGTTAGGAAGCAGATGTAAAGAACTTGGGTTTGCAGATTGGAAAGTGGTGACCTGGCAATGTGATGTGAAGTACTTGGTCACACTGCCAACTGTACCCTGGAAAGTCATATATGTGTCAACTGAGGTCATGGACTTAGGGAAAAATTAGATTTTTGGTAGGTACTTTGTCTCTTGAAGCAGAATCTAGAGCCTCAGTTCTGAAGTTACTCAGAGATGGAGAGAAGTACCACTTTCTTAAGGAAGGCACTCTGGACATCCAGCCTGAAATCTAAACTGCCCAAGAGACCTGCATTACAGACCTTGGAGTACTACAAAACCAGTTTTATCAGAAGGAAATGAGTCTGGAGT